CGCCATGGCCGGTCGCCATAGAGAGACAGAGCGAGAGCATAGGTGGGGAACAGAATAGCACAGAGAGCGGGACAGAGAACGGGAACAGAGAGAAACAGAGAGACAGGGGGAGAGAGAGAGAGAGAGCGTAAAGGGGAAGGGGCCTATCTTTTAAAGGGGTCCTCTGCACCTGCGTGCAGACTTCTTTCCCAAGGCACCTTGGCATGGTCAGGGTATTGCCTGAGTGGATTCCACCAGGTAACAGGGGCAGGCCAGCATAATGCCTGAACCTTTCAGGTGGTGCTGGAGAAAGCTGAGAATTCTACATCTTGACTCACAGGCAGCAGCGGGAGACTGCCACGCTAGGCCTAGCTTGCCCCAAAACTTGAAAGCCTTCCTTTAACAAGATCACACCTACTCCAACAAGGCCACACCTCTTATTAGTGTTATTCTCTATGGGTCAAGTATTTAAACAAAGCAGTCTATTGGGGGCCTTTTCTATTCAGCACCACAATGGCCATTTATTGCCAGGTGGTGGTGGTGCATTCCTTTTATCCCAGCACTCAGGAGGCAGAGGCAGTATGACTTGGAGGCCAGCCTTTGTCTATAGAGTTAGTTCCACAACAGCCAGGGCTACACAGAGAAACCTGAAAGGTTCAGACTGTAATGCTGATCGGCAATATCTCTTTAAGAGACAGCCGCCCCCCGCCCCCTGACAATAGTCAGGGCATGCACAGGGACATGCCATCGTCACATCACCCACCACGCATGTGTGAGGACTCTGGGCATGCGTGGAATCTCAGTGCGCATGCACAGTCTTCCTTTTAAAAGTTCCAGCTTCCCTGCTTGTCTCTCTCTCTCTCTCTCTCTCTCTCTCTCTCTCTCTCTCTCCTCTCTCTCACCTACACACTCTCTGCCTCTTTATGGCGTTCCTCTTCTCTCTTAGTCTCCCTACTCTGCCAGGCCTATAATAAACCAGTTAACATGTCTCATCTGCCTCTTTTTCTCTTTTTCTTTATCTTTAATTTAAACAAAAACATAATAAAACCTTGTGTCAAAAAAAACAAAAAATCATGACTATTTCCTAGAAACTTAACTAACATTTCAGTTTTTCTAATTAAAAAGTAAAGAATAGTTCTAACTCTGTAGTTTCATTGTTATTCTTTGTAGCCTAATCCTGTCATTCCTAGTTTATGTCCCACATTATAAAATACTTAATATTTTTTAAAGAAAACACTTTTAATAAAATAGCCATCTTTAGCTTAAAGATTTAAGTCATAACAACCTTATATATAAAAGACTTTCTAAGTAATAGTAATAATGTATATTTTGATGAAAAATATCACAGCATCACATCAAGTACTAGCAGAATTGGGCACCATGTGCTATGTGATTAACACGAAAAGAATTTCCAGTGTGATGTTAACTAATTCCAGGGGTGTATTTAGTCTGCCTTTGCTCAAGCATCTCATGCCAGATGTGGTTTTGTATTTGATTTACTCTAAGAATGAAGAATATGGGCTAGGGTGTGACTGAGTGGTAGGTAGCCTGTATAATACATGTTTGGGGCTTTGGGTGTGATCCTAGCACAGAAGAAGAAAAAGGTGAATGATTATTTACATCAAGCCCTCAGTGAAAGAGAGCACGATGTACATTTTGTGGTGTTTGAGTTCTAAAAATTCCAGATGTAATAAAAATGTTTCAAAATACATTTTTTGTATATGTAGTAGCTAGGGTCCAGGCTAAAATAACTATTTACACGGTTTGCAGGAATAAATATACAATTGCATACTAGAAAGTCCAGCTGGAGCTGGGAGGTGGTGTGTCTTTGATCCCAGCACTTGGGAGGCAGAGGCAGGGAGCTCTCTGAGTTCAAGGCCAGTCTGGTCTACAGAGTAAGTTAGTTTCGGGACAGCCAGTACTGTTACATAGAGAAACCCTGTTCTGAAAAGCAAAAAAAAAAAAAAAAAAAAGGAAAAGAAAGTCCAGTTGGACGTCTCAAATTCTTAGCCCCTGCCTAATAAATTCCAGAAATAATTTTCATTATTGTGACAACCCCAAATAATCCCATTTCCACCTCTGCCAAGAATTATTACTTGTATCATATTATTAGGTCTTAGACCTGATAGGCGTCCTTACAGAAGATAGTGAAGTGATTTTTCAGGGGATAGGGGAGATGGCAGTTATCATGTTGTTTGATGCTCCAGCATGAGAATTTGAGTTCTGTCCCGGGGGATTGTGGAGATGGCACAGTTATCATGTTGTTTGATGCTCCAGCATGAGAATTTGAGTTCTGTCCCCAGCACACCTCCATCACAAAGCTAGGTGCAGGAGCTGTTTCCTATAATCCTGATGCAGAAGGATCTCTGGGGCCTCCTGCCCAGCCAGTCTAGCTGAAGCCACAAGCTCCAGATTCAGTGAAAAACAGAGAATAAGTGAAGAAGATACTCTCTTGGATCTCTGGACTCGACGTGTATATTGATGGTGCATGCACATGTACATACACACACATGCGCGCAACCTTTTCTATCCCACTCCTTATAGATTTTTTTCTCTTGAATTAACTGAATGTGGGATTAGATATATGCATGGTAGAGAAAATGTGCACTAAATGTACAGAATGATTTCTTTGTTTTTAATCTATAAATCACTATTTACATTATTTATGTCCTTAGAGATTAAGTTCTGTGGGACTCTTATCAATGACTACTAAGAAATTGTTAATAATATTAGTAAATAGTAAACTGTCATAAAGCAACTGGTCAAATATTTGTTCCTGTTGTTTCTATGGCTATAATTATACTTCTCTTTTCAAATAATATTCAAATAAAACATTTGGAAATACTTTTTAACTGAATTTTCTTGATTCTAGTTTTACAGGCAACTTTGAGAGAAGAAAAGAAACTTCGAGTTGAAAATGCTAAACTGAAAAAAGAAATAGAAGAACTAAAGCAAGAGCTAATTCAGGCAGAAATTCAGAATGGAGGTGAGTATAGAAATTCTAGGATTCTTGATTTATGGTAATTATGTGATTTATTTAAGTTTTCTCTTTATCTTCTTACTCTCATGTCACTCCCATGATACATTCCTGATGGGGGAAGTGCTTCTGTATATGTATTTGTCTTATTGGATGATAAATAAAGTACTGTTTGGCCAATGAGGCAGCAAGTTAGGCGGGACTAGGAGCCAAGGAGGATTCTGGGAAATGTAGTAAAGAAGTGGTGATCCAGGCAGGAAGTGACATAGTAGGGAGACTCATATATAAACAAGGGCAAGAAGGAAGTCGTTCCCTTCTCTCTTCATCCTGGTCTCTGCTCTGGAGTGCCATGTGATCTGCCGGCAAGAGAGTGCACCAGCGGAAGGTGTCCTCTATAAGGTAAGGCTTATAAAATGTATAGATTTATGATAATTAAGACTGAGCTATTGGATGGGAAGTACTAGTCATTGGCCAAGCAACATTTGTACCTAATATAAGTCTCTGTGTGTTAGTTGGGACCGTAATGTGGCGGCAGGCGGACTTGGGTGGCCTGGCGGAAAGTGCCCACGTGGAAGCAAGACTCGGGCGGCATGGAGTAAAGACTTGTTGTTACACATTTCCCCTCTTCTACAGGAAAAAAAAAATGTAGACTTAGAAAAGGCAGTTGCTCTTATATGAGGTCACAGAAGGCTAAAGCTGATATTAAAACTTGCTCTTTTCATTTTTGTGCTATGTACTTGAACTTGATCAGCACTGTCATTGCTGTTGAATACCAGGTGAAAAAATAACCATAGTAATGAATTTACAGTTATTTAACATTTTCAGGAGCATTTGTGGTAAGTTACATACTTATGTACTTAGAAAAGTTTTGTCACCAGGTGTGTCACATCTGTAACCCCAGGACTCAGCAGACTTCAGCAGGATGACTACTATACATCTGAGGCCAGCCTGGCCTTCAGATAACCCCATTGTAGGGGAAGCTGTAGCCATGCCTACTTAGGGGCTGGCTACAGGTGTGCCTGACCAGGCTTGTGAGAGTGTGGTCAGGGTGACATAGAGCGAGACTTGAAGGGGACTTTGTCTCGCTTTCGGTTTCACTTTTGGGCTTGCTTACAGACCACTGCCACGCCGACTGGCTAGGTTGCTCTGTAAGTAAGTCTTTTCCCTATTAAATTTCCTTATATTTCTACCTGACTCCGTATTGGTAATTTCCCACTATACCCCATCTCCAAAAGTAAAAGAAAAAGTTGCTCTCAAAATATCTTTATTTTATAAACCAAGTCAATGAAACTTAAAGATACAGAGCTACTTGAGTTTAAAAAAAAAAAAAATCAAAGAACTTTACTTATTCAAGTCAAGTAATTACCAATTTGGCTACAAATTGTAAATAAAGTTATAAAACCAAGTCAATGAAACTTAAAGATACAGAGCTACTTGACTTTAAAAAAAAAAATCAAAGAACTTTACTTGTTCAAGTCAAGTAATTACCAATTTGGCTACAAATTGTAAATAAAGTTATATTTTTATTGACCTGCTTCAAAAGCTTCCATTTTCTTGTGTGTTGTGTTGGAGTTGGGGGGAGGGGTCAGGGGGACCTATATTATATGTATGCATATTTGCATGTGTGTGGCACATGTTTTCACATGCATGTGGAGTTCTGAGGTTAATGTTGGGAATTAACTTTGATGGCTTTTTCACTTTATTCTTTGAGCAGGATCACTCATCAAGCTAAGAGCTTGCTGATGTGGCTAACCTCAGTAGGCAGCTTCCTCTAGTGATCGCCTGTCTCTGCTTTCTTAGTCTAGAGTTACAAGCAGTCTGCCATGCACTAGCATTTGGCATCCATGTGGGTTTTGGAAATCTGAACTATAGTCCTAATACTTGCATGGCAAACACTTTAACCACTAAGCCATCTCGCCAGCCCAGTGAAGCCTGTCTTTATTGCTGTCTTCTTTAGATAGCCTGTCAACATGATATTTTGAATGTTGTATAAATTCTTCCCTTAGCTAAATAAAATAAGGGGAAAATTAGTAACTTATACTGTCTTAGTTAAGGTTTTCTTTTGCTGTGAAGAGATACCATAACCATGGCAACTCTTATAAAGGAAGATATTTAATTGGGGCTGGCTTACAGTAGTAGATTTTTTTCTTAAAAAGGGTTCATATTTGTGATTTACAAACCTATTGTTCCACCTTGTTTATGAGTTTAACATGAGTGACATTCTGTTCTTTTTCTGTATGTCAGTGAAGCAAATTCCAGTCCCAGTCCAATCTGATACTCCAGTGCAAGCTAGCTCTGCAGTTTCTACAAGTGTGATACAGTCTACATCGGTATCAACCATCTCTTGTAGTATAAAAGAACACAGTAAAGGAGGGGGAGAAGAAAAGAAGGTAAAAGAGAAAACTGATAAGAAAGGTAATTTTCATTATTAATCTTGTTTGACCCTTGACTATTTTATTATTCAATATTAACATTTATGATGATGATAATGCTATCAAATGGAAAGTCCCAACTTTTAGGAGCTAAGACAAAATTAAGAACAGTCATCATTAGGTTATAGAAATTGAATCCCGGAGAATATGTGAATATTGATGACATTGACAGGGTAAAAGTGAGTTATGTTATTCAGAGGGATCAGCATAAATAAAACATCAAAAGATCAGATGGATGACTAAACTTCGATATATATTTGGGGCTTTGTTCCTTCCAGAGAAGTCAGAGGTTAAAGTTGACTTACAGTCATTTAGGAAAAATGGACAGTGACATCTAGTCATCTGGACCGAGGCGTGGGAATGTTAAGGAACCGAGAAAAATAGTATGGCGCACTGAAATCCTGCAGTCATCCATACCTGTCCCTTTCCTTCAGTCTTCAGATCTAAATAACCAACGAATCCTGTCACCAAGTATATGAATAGGCTTCAGCTGTGCTTTTGATTTGTGAGGTGCTACATTTGTTCAGCTTCTTAAAGGTTCCGTCTTTCACCCTTACCCTGTTACTCAAGCAACTTTTCTAATAAGCATCTGACTTCATTCATTAGATTGGGCTGTAAATATGCTTTTATTATCCATTTTTATGTATGCCTCCATTATACTTTACCTCATTTATAGTTTTTTTTTTTTTAAAAAACACAAAATGTCTAAGGGCTTTTGAACTGACATAAAAGAATTTTAGCATCCAATACTTTATGGTTTCTTTGGCAGATATCATTAGACTTTGTCAGAGTATGTAGGGCCAGTAAAAGCCAGTCAGCACAGAGATGGAAAATAATTCTATGGCTTGATCTTACAGATTTTGTTTGCTCGTTACTCTGTTATCCAAGTCAATCTGATGTTGTGACTAACCCACTTCCAGTCAGTTTAGGCAGCAGTCTTAGAGGCCAATAACACAAAACTCAATTGGGCTGCGTTCAGAACACTTCTGACTAGTGAATTTTTCTGTGATGGCAGTGATGTTGTTACACTGTAGCACTGTTCAGCAGGGTAGCCAAAATCTAAATATGGCTATTGAGCATAAAAATAAAATATGTAGATATATATTGTTATAGTTTAAATGCAGTATAGTGACTTATGTATGATTTATCCCACAAAGACAACATGATTTTGATCTTTTTCTAATATGTATCTGTTCATTTTATTATAAAAATCTTTGCTGATCCATAACGGGAAAGGTAAGATTAAAAACCATCCATATGTAAACTAGCTCTGTCTCTTTTACATCCATATGTAAACTACCTGTATAAATGGTGAACATCTTTTGTGCCATGCAGGATTATTTTTCATGCCTCTGTGTTAACATCTGCTTGTTATACGGTAGTACTACCCCTTTATCTATAGGTTAGCTTAGAAATTTGACACCATAAGATATTAACAGTGATGATGATAAAATAGAATGATCAAAATATGTGCTATTTTTTTTTTTTTTAGAATACAGTATTTAGAGAAATAGCTAAAGTTGTGTAGATTTTATGACGAGTATCCTTTGTAATAGAAATGAATGATCTTTTTTTTTTTCCCCTGAACTCATCAGCACTAGTACCAGAGGTTCTCCTGGTGTTTTTTGTTTGTTTGTCTTACTTCTGTTGCTTACATATTCTCAATCCTTAGGAGAGAAAAAGGAGAAGAAACTGCAGTCAGCAGCACCAAGTGCTGACTCGAAGCCAGTAGATGTTTCTCGTCTGGATCTTCGAATTGGTCGTATTGTTACTGTCAAAAAGCACCCGGATGCAGACTCACTGTATGTAGAAGAAGTGGATGTGGGGGAGGCAGCCCCAAGGACAGTCATCAGTGGACTGGTGAATCATGTTCCTCTAGACCAGGTGAGTTGCCCCCAAAGTGCCACTGCTATGGGCTGCCTCTTCCGTGACCTACTCATACTAGTTGCTCTCAGAGTCATTGGTTGGGAGTGAGAGCAGTGGCTCGGGAGTTAGGAGCCCTCACTGCTCTTGGGAAGGACCACTTTTGGGTTTCCAGCACCCACATAACAGATATGAAACTACCCCAGACTTAAAGGCCTGCAAGGTAAAATAAATTCCATAGGATAGAAAGAAAGTAATCATGTGTTCCTATGTCAATGTATGTGAGTATGGTCTGGTA